AGCGAGTGATGTATATCATAGCACTGCTTTCTAAGTCTTTTTTCCCAACATCTCGGGTTTAGTTAGAAAGGTAGGTCTCGTCTTTGCATTACTCTCTGATGAGCGGATGTGAATTGTATTCAACTAGCAGTCCTCGCGACTAAAGCACTCTGGTCCAGATTGTTATCACCCTTTCTCAGGGAGCCTTATGATCTGCTACAACTAACGGTCTCAGAATGAAGTTTTCGATCTATATACAGCACGGCTTTTCATGATTAAGATTTCTCGTGTTATGCTTGCTGTATTCCTTCCACCTCTCGCCAAATCTGCTCCAAAGTCAATTTTCCTTATCTCTCCCGTCGAAAGCTTTGTAATGCTGTTACCAGGTGTCTCACGGTTAAGAAGTACTACATGTGGCGTGTGATGAGGCTTGAGAAGCCTTGACGTCAAGTAAATGCATGGTAGAGACGGCAACCTCTTAACAAAGGAAAATTCCACAACAATATAGTGCGGTGTTAGTCCAAAGCTTCATGTTAGGCCTCGCTGAGCTTCAGTACTCGGATAACGCTTTTCCTTTTTTCTGGCTACTCTTAATTTGTTTTAGTTCTTAATGAAATATTCCTTGTTTGCCTTCGTCTTCACTGGGTTGCAAGTATGCCTTTTAATTTGATTTCAGACGCATTCGCTATCCTTTCCTGTCTCTCTCTGCTTTGTCAGTCTATTTAATCTTTGACTTGTGTACCAGCCTACGGATTCTGTTCATTAATGACATTTAAGTTGGGTTATGCAGGACGTAAATCGGGCAAAGTTGTTTACTGTATTAGTAAAATGTCATTGGCTCTTTTCTTGAGAAATACATTAGCACGGTTGACGTCACCGCTGAGGTGAAAGAGAAACAGCAGTTAACGAATTATACCCAACTCGAAACGGCGAGAATGTAGAATGTTCAGATATTTTTTCTTGTTTACTTTCTTCAAGTCTGCATTAGGAGATTCAATGTCCACGCATTAGGGAGTTGCGGTTTCTAGGTTTTCTCTCCTTGTTATCAATAACGCTGGAGAGCTGTACCTAGAAAAGGTCAATCCAAAATCTCTCCTTCGTCTTACATTGTTAAGACCTCCTACTAGTGTTATACATCAATAAAGCATACGTTGAAGTCCCTGACGTATGAGGAAAATTGAAATAAAAGGTGTAGGCGAGTATGGATAAAATATTTGTAACGATAGGAAAGACTTTAAGAGGAGTTCTTTAAAAACAAGATGGAATTGCAGTGAAACGATCGTTTTCAAACCACTGCTCTAGAATGCAGGAAATGGGTTATATTGCCTGTAGTAAGAGATCCAGTTGATAGAAAAAGTGAGATTCAAGAAATATCAGTTCATTTTATACACACTTAGTAAAAATGTAGGTATTTGGATATTGATCTGCTTTAAAATACATCAGGACGAGAATGGTTTCTCAAAAAGCACAAAAGTTATACAACTACAATGACAAAAATGGAGATAATTGTCATATAAGTGGAAACCAAACTCAGTGCAAAGCACAAGAGATAAACCATGACCAAAGAGGAGTTAAAATGCAGCAGGAACACCTAAATCAAATGAGTGGGTATACAATCATGTAGAACAGCACTGTAGTACAAGATTTCTCAACAATTGATTAAGAATATATTTAGTTCAGACTATCATACCATTGGCATGTATTTGTGGATTTTTCATAACCCATATATGTTCTTGTACTAGACTGAGAGAAGCTGTGACAAAATTCTTAAAATACCATACAAATAGGCCTGGCAAAGGAAATACTCCTGGTAGCTGTGTTTGTTTCTTGTTCTGACCATTTCCCAGAGGCATTGTTTTGAGGAGACAGGGTATCTCCATTAGTGATCTCTGATGTGACAAAATGTTTCCAGGACATATAATGCCCAAGCTGTAACATATCTGTTGTAACCATTTCCTAGAGGCATTGTTTTGAGGAGATAGGGTATCTCCACTGGTGGTCTCTATTGTGACAAAATGTTTCCAGGACATGTTATGCCCAGATTGTAACATATCTGTTGTAACCATTTCCCAGAGGCATTGTTTTGAGGAGACAAGGTATCTCCACTGGTGATCTCTAATGTGACAAAATGTTTCCAGGACATGTAATGCCCAAATTGTAACATATCTGTTTAATCATAAACAATTATTTCACCAGTTTGTGACAGTTAAGCCTCAATGATAACATGATTAGTTCACAGAAGTGAACGACAAGACATTATCCTGTACTATGGAACAGCGTCCTGCTACTCTATTGTGAGGCTTTTCTATCTAAATCACCTCTGAACAAATAAAAAAGACACAAACACCCGAACTAGCAAACATGGGTGATCATAGTAAAAACTCTTTAGGCTTTTTAAAAACCAAACAGCCAAAGTAATGACTGCTAGAGGACCACATTGACATTCCAGGCAGTCAGTATACAAAGAACAAGAAGAGGGAAAAACTCAAGAATCATCAAGACCTTGCTGGAAAAGGCATGGTTAAAATCAGAATAGCAAAATTGTTGCATCTACTACAGGCCCATGCCTATGTAGGTATAATGAAGAGAGAGAGAGATCTAACAAGGACAGCACACATGCTAGTAATGATCCTTACGCAGGCTACCCTTAAATAAGCCAATGTCAAGAATGAATAATATTAAAAAAATAAATAAACAACATCAGTTACTAAGGCCAAAGATCATTAGAGCTATCAGTGTTTCTAACAAAAGAAATAAAGCATAGTTATAATATTAATTATCACAATAAGTCAACATGTGAAGCTTCAAAACTCAGCTGTTGCCTAAATCTATGTAGCCATAGGGTTCACACCAAGGCTACAGTAAAAGAAAATAAATTGATATGGTCTTCTCATTTCAAGCAAAGAAATCAATGACTGATCATATTGATACCAGAGCTACAGCAATACAAATTCAGATACAAATTTGCTGTACAGTGACTATATTTGATGCAGTTATAGTCAAAACAGACAATTAAAGTCTTAAAATAGGAGAGAAGCCAAACAAAGCAATCAAATCTCCCTAAGGATTGTGTACACAAAAATTAATGTAACAAAGATTCATCAGTTCCTTTGATATTTAAATGCCGCACATCCTGAATTAAAAGCTACACTTACCACTTAAACCTTCTGTTTCCCAAAATAAACATCCACCAGAAAGCAATTATTGTTAAAAGCTTTCACACCAAAAGAAGAACTTTAATTTAGGATTCATAAGGTTTGCTATATATGGATATAATGTAAATTATCAAATGAAAACCAAATAAATATATAAACTCTAAATCTCCCAATAAATGAATTAGTATGACACTTTGATCATGTGATCAAAGTCCGGCACCCATGTGATTTTGCTAAGTCGAAAACAATAGCATCATTAGCATTGGAATTTTGTGTTGCTTACTTATCTACGTATTAAATGTCAACCAAAGTCAAAGTCCTTCAGAAGCAGTAACCAACCTGTGTAAATGTCGATTTTCTGTGACGATGCATCTCTAAAGGAGAAATTTATACGAAAAATTAACTATAAATACATAGATGGCTGAGTCAATGACTAAGATAAATGTTAGCAATAATAAAGTCATTACACTACACCTAGCCGGGTGATCAGATCGATGCATTCATGTCGGCTATCAGTCAATAATTTCAGTGTATTTATAATCACTTTGTGGGCCAAACAACGAGATACAAGTAAAAAAAGGTGAAAGTAAACCAAATCAAGGGTAATATTTCAACAATAGAATCCTGACAACAGGAATCAAACAACACCAGTTGGAATTTCCGTTTACTCGCACTTCGCTGAGTTGTTGAGTCTTTCCACCGAGAAAGGCAGACGACGACGCCAAGTTAAGGTAATCATTTACAAATACATCCCTCGGTGAATTGTAAACAGCGAAATGAAGAAATACATCGCGCTATTGAGTCCTGGAAGAGCGAAAGTTTTCACCCCTTCAACTTCTTTTTATTTCGAACGATGTGCCCTGAAACTGAAATTATATTTCATACCTTGCGTTATCAACCAACTCGGCCAAAGCTCCGAACAGGAATTCGTGTGTTGTGCTATTCGGGGAAAAATGAAAGGAGAAAGATCACTGGAGGCTACTCCTCAGATCGTGTCAGTTACACTTAGTTAGCTCACGGGCATACAGATCCAACATAATTTGCATGAATATATACGCACTGCGAGCAGATTACTATTTAAACCCTACGTGACTTTCTGTGAAGCGTAAAAGCTTGAAATGTTATTCATTTACGAAAAACTAAAGTAAAAGGAATTAATTTAGATACTTATTTACGTTTCTTTTCTTTGCTTCTAGCGAGGTTTTAATTAGTTGATGCACCCTTGGCAGTAAAATAGGCAAAACATGCGCGTGCACGGGCCTGTAGTCATCCGACACAAATACCCTTACATGTTACACATGGTTTGAAAATCTTGGTCAAGGTGAAGGGCTCAAGACCATAAAATACTCCGCAAATCGTTACCGTAACTACCTGTTTGTATGCAGATAATCGTAAGTGAGTTGAGCCCGGCGGAGCGATGAATAATTTCCACCACTTGTCATTTCGTTGCCTTCGACTGCGATCACAGTGTTAGCAGTAGCGTCCTAGCTTGAAACGTTAGTCTCCTCTGCTTGATTAACGCTCAATGGGTCCCATCCACCGACCACGTGTTCTCCGCCTCTGTATAACTCAAAACAAACTTGATGGTTGTAAGATGTGGCCGTCAGTACTACCGTATACTTGCCTAATTGAGCTGCGCTTCAAGACCACTACTGTCAACAAGCTTACGCTGCAAAATAGCATGGTTGAGGAGGCTTCTTACGAGTGTCAAACCTCCACCAACGTGACTCTCATGTGCGCGAAAGTCGAGAGTTGTCGAAATGTAATTGGCTAATACGTTTAGAATTGACATCTGCATTGTTTTTCCGACAATTTCATTGGCTTAAACTAGAAATGACGTAACCTACTTTGCAGCCGCACCCGACATTGTGAGGGATATCTTTTGTAGCAGCCATTTCTTGGTTGGATAGGGTTTGAAGTTTATGTTCGACGACGTCACTTTTCGCTAGATCTTTCGATAGTCCAGCCACTGCACCTTGTAAAAATGAGGGGCCTGTTTCAGATACACCGGCCGGAATCGAAATTCTGGCTCGGTAAGCCGGGATAAAGAGTTGTATTCACTCGGATTGAACTCCGAGATGCAACGGTAAGATTTTATCGCTCATCGATTCGTGTTTGCTTGTCATGTAATACGAAAGCCTCGCAACTTTGTTTTCAACATATTTCTTCGAAAGACTACTCAAAAAATATGTGGGATTGACTCTTGGTTGTTCTTGCTTACGAAAAAGTTGATCTCCTATCGAAAACAATCAAGCGGAAAGTTGGATTTGGACCGGTGTTTGTTCAGATATAGCTTTTGCATTTTAATGAGCTTCCGAACAAATTGATAGCAAATCGACCAGCTGTTTGACACACTAAATGATAGTTCTCAGTAATATCAACATTTAAATACCGTTTCGTTTATTAGTGGTGGTGTTTAATCAAAAGCCATTACGCTCTCTCTGTCTTGATGGTTTGTGAGAACAAGCTGCATTTTGTCATGTGATTATAGCTTTACATGTGAGAGAAGAGTAATGCTTTCAGTTTCGGCTGAGAGCACACTAATAATGACCTCCTGAATTTGTAATATGGTTGTTTACAACATTTCTGCACGCATCCCACACTGACCAATGGTAGAGCGTTTGTGTGTTACTCTGTCCTGTAAACTATATCATATATTGAACACATTTTTAGATGTCTGTGTTCAAAGCAAGTTTTACCAGCCTCAAACATTACTGTCTGACAAGCAGTGGAGGCCTGTTGTCCGCATTTAGTGATCGCGCAACTATTTACATTAAGACGGCGGTAGCTTTAAAGAGCTTGGTTTTGGCCTTGATAAACTAGATAAACACATTTGCTCATTAGATCATGAATGCTTGAAATAGTTTGTGTCCATCATGGTTTTATAGCTCTTCATGCTCCACCGAAAGTGAAAAGGAAAGACGGCAAAAGGTTTTTTCCCCGATCCACTAGAAAGAGAAAGCACCACGTAGGCGGAAATGTTAAAACAGACACTTTACGTGGCTCAAGCAAATTGCAATCGTCACTTGATCAAGTATAAATTTAGACAACTAAAACTTCCGAAAATAGAAGGTCAAAGTAAAAATTCTGAGAGTAACATGTCATAACCGCCAGACCGTAAATTGTAATTAAGTTTTAGAAAGGCTTTATACGACTAAGATGACTTTTATGGTATTAAAATGAAGTGTAATCAAAACTTTCAAATTTATCTCCTATTCTCTTCTCTCGTAACAGCGTTATTTCCCATCTTCTGAGACGTTAAATTCTGCTCGATGGCGTCACGCTGTTGGTAATGAAACTCATCTGCCTGTCCATCGACTATAAATCTTCTTGGGCAATCTTTCGAATAACGTTAGAAACCATTGAGTTTTCCTAATACTTCCTTTTGAATCCATTTATTTTTAATGAGAGGCCGATAGTCTGCCGACAGCAGTCTTGATTGTCTAAATTTCCTCAACACGTAACCCCGTCTGTTTTTCTTCTCTGCGAGTATGCTCCATCGTTCGCTATTTTACAAAGATAGCTACGCATTTCATTTTCGTGGCGCGTCATTGGTCACAAACTACCTCAGCCTTAGTAGTTTTTTAATTCTTTGACTAATTCTTCTTATTTTGTTTTATTTATTTAGCATAAAATTTTCTTATCTTTAACGGCACGTCATTGAGTGTCTTTCAAAATTTGACTCGCGTCTCGTATTTCTTTGTTGTATATTCCTTTATCGTCAGTAATAGATGACAAACTTAATTGAATAACTGGATCTATTCTCTAGACCCTTTACTAAGGATGTAAATTTTTTCTTTTTGTAGATTAATATGCAATATTTGGGTTATCCCTCTTTTGTTGACAAGAAAAACGAACCATAGAAGTCCAAAACATGAAAAAAAGCCTTTGACTAAAGAAATGTTTAAGAAGACTTCTCTGGGTTTATTTCTATAGTTATATTATTTATCATCTTCTGATAAAAGACCACATAATCTTTGTGAAGTAGATCTCAACCACAAAACTTCCCATGAACGGATGATGAATGGTAGATTTTCTCTAGACAGCTGTAAAAATTCTCTATGTGTCCTAGGTTGAATTATTAAACTACCTTCAGAAGAACACGGATGGCAACCTGAGGTTGGGAGGGTTGGGTGGACTCTTAACAGTGTTTAAATGTGCCATACCGGCTTACAAAGCTATTTCGTCTCAATAAAAGTTTAAAGTACGCAGTTGCTCGAGCTTTTGTGTGAAAGTTACTAAAACAGCTGCCTGTGAATGGCAATGGATTAGCAGCATTCTATACCAGAAGAATAGTAGCACTACTGAGTTAGGTAGACCTCGGAAATTCTGAGCCTCTAGCTCGTGCCCCAGCCCAAGCCTTTTTTTGACTGTTTCAAATTCTTGTCTTTTAAAAGTAATGTACATCCTAACCGACATTTCTTTTGTTGTCTGGCGCTTCTAATGATGTCTGGCCTGCCTGGGTGTGTTTCGTGAAAGCTAGTTGTTTAAGATGTGTGTCTTTTGAGCATAAACTTGTGTCTTGCTGGCTTGAGCACAATAGCGGTAAAGATGGACCCTTTTTTTGTTTCCTTGTAATGAACGAGAGAGAAGCCACTCCAATTTTGCCGAAGGAGACCGTTAGAGACAATGAATTTCTATCAGTTTTGAGCTTGTGGTTTGCGAGGAGGCACTGAGGGTTCCGTGTGAGAGCAATCTGCACTTTTCTCATATCTTTTAATTTGTCTGCCGTTAACTGATGTGTAGGAACTACAAATGAAGTGTGCATCTTATTAATCCTCTTTTCAAGTAGCAGCATCAAGGTGTAATTATCTATAAGGTTTTGTCAGTGTTGGTCGAATTCGTCTGCTTGTGGAGATGTTTAATCTTTATACGCGTTTATGCAATTGAAAAGAGAAATGTTTTTGATGTACTTTATAACTCCGGAGTTCGAATGCTGATTTTAGTATTCTCCAACTGATCTCTGACACTTTTGCTGGTTAGACCGTGGCATATATTTTTGATAACGCAAACTGTTTGTTTTTACCAAAAAAGAAAATAAGGAAGAAACTCAAGCACCCTTTAAAATGTAGACTATCTTTTTTTTCGTAACTGAGTGATTTACTGAGAGAAAAGAGGGGGTGGCGCTTGTCAGTCGTTAATAGTTGGAAGGGGGTAATTGAGCAAAAATAATGTTTGTCGATCTGCAGGTACGGAAACAAACCGTGATACTGCGGACGTTATATGTGCTAGAGTGAAGAACTGTAGGAACATTGTATGAGCGTGAATTTTCAATGATACATTATTAGAGTGTTAATGGACCGAGTTGATTATCTGTAAGTATATCAATGATTTTAGACTATGGATCAGAGATATGCGGCAATCTTGTGGACTAAGACGTAACGACTGTAGAAGAGAGGCCATCAAGCATTCTGTTATTCGATATAAAAATGCTCAAAATTATAAAAATAAAATTGGGGGATTTGTTGGATGTTTCTGCCTGCCTGATGTTTCCTCATAGTTTCGATTGCTTTCGGAAACGTTAAACACTGGTGCGAGGTAGAGAACGATGATTAAATACTAACTTAAGTATCGTGTTTACTTTATAGACGCGTTGTGTCAATTATATAACTTTAACGATCTAGTTTTCTTGTTACCAACTCTTGAATATAGAGTGGTGACTGTAAGTCTTGGACCATGACCAAAAGCGGTTTCTCTTGATGGTTGGGTTGCGATTTGGTAGAAATTTAGAAAGAATACCTCAAAAGGCAGTGGACGACACAAAAAAGCGAAAAATAATCCCCTGAAGCGGTCAGCGAACGAATTTGAAGGACAACTGCAAATATCTTTGGTTGCAGTGAGATCATTTTGTAATGAATTGCTTTCCTCAGAGTAAGAAACTAACCTGCTTTGATTTTTCCTTCCTCTTTAGGAAGCCTTCAGTTGGGACTTGTGTTTAAAGATGGTAGGTGGCGAAGCTGAAATAGAAGAAGCCCTAAACAGCAGCTGATAACGGGAGGCGCATCCCAAGAGATTACGTTTAAATGGTTTACGTGGGTTATTGTGAGATGCCAATTACCAAAATGAAAGCAATAACCCGGATGTTGCCGGGACACCGCAAAAGCTGAGATGTTTATGAAGACTTCTGATGATTCTGCGATGTAAAGAGCTGACAGAGAAAGAAGAAGAAAGAAGATGCGGTCCACTTTTTTATTCTACTTCATGCTCGATAAATGAATTTGTAATCTATTATTTCTGTCTAATGTTGTCATGGTCGGTCAGTGAAAAAAAAATGAATAGAGCCCATCGAAACGAGAATTCAGTCTGGCGAATTAAATATAACTTTTATTTTCAAGAAAAAGATGCCATAAATCTGTAATTTTTTTTTGGAGGAAAAAATGCTGTAATTTGTAAACGAAGTACTTTTATCATATCGCTAGCTATATATACGTAGCCTCTTAATTGACATCTAAATTCCCTTCTAACTATCTTGTAAGTTCTACAAAGTCCGTTTCTCAATTCTTGTTCATCTATGGAAAGGTAGGACTCATCAAGGTAGCTGCTTTATTCCCGGGCTATCAAGCTTTCAGTTTAATTTACATTAAGGAATGACTTATCAATAGATGCTTATCAAGGATATAGCGTTGGTAGTGATGTTAAGTAGGTCGCATTTGCAGAAACTAACCCTTTTTCTCTGATCGAATAGAAAAACTATTAGGTTAGGCATAATTTTATATCGCATTTTGAGAACGAGGAAACGAAACAGCATTGAAGGATCGCCGTTATTCAAGTGTCTCGAGCTTATTTTATGGGTTCTCTTTGCCTTTGTGCTGTCTTAGCTGTAAACATCTGCTATGAAAAGGCTTGGTTGCTCGTCCTCATCTCCCACACCTGCTCTCTGTAAACAGATGTCACTCCTTTGAATTTCCCATATAAGGGTCGTTTGCGTCGTCGTTCCGAGCTGTCGACTTCTGATTGGTCCAATTAGGAATTAGCTTTGGCGGAGAAGTGGTTTCATTGACGGACGCCTCCCGTGTTAATGGGCTCTTACTACCCTCTGACGTCAATGGAGCAACGTGGGTGTCTACACCTGTTTTTCTATTGTCCCCACAAAATGGGACGACTTGTGTCATAACGAAGCCAACCGCCAGGAAGACTCTCAAAGCATTCTGTTACGCGCAGAAAATTGAAGCTAGTAAATGCTTCAATGCGCAGTGACTTATAAATAAAGTAACCGTAAATTCAGATTTTTCACTATTCTTATGTTAAGAAAAAGTTAATTTGCGCGCTGTCATGTTTACCTAATGATTGTTATGATTGTCCTTTAACAAAGCATCCATTTCCTATGAATTTAGTTATTTCACATGCTATTATTTACCTCGCGAAGACCATTAAAAACATTTTTTTGACATATCCCTTAAATATTAAAGGGTTTCTCCTAACGGTAATTCCTTTAAGAACTTTGTATTAAACTCTGACGTGGTAAACATCAGGCAATACGTCATCAATTTCTAGTCCACCATACATCGTGTCGAGCTCATTAAAAAGCACTATCCTATTATTTTTGTAGCATTAATCAGTTTCTAAAAAATGACCTAAGCTCATTCCAGTAATGATCATGAAAACGATGTCGTTATATACAAACTATATAACTGTATAGCGTGATCGCATCGAGGTATGGCTCGAATGTTGACAAATGGACTCAACGCGAAATTAAGACTTAGTGGGTGATTCTGTAGGCCTGATTTCAGTTTACAAGCGTTCGAAAGAATCGAAAAGGGGCAGTATTCGATAATTAGCTCCTCGTGCGTTATACACATTACCGTGGACAAAATGGAAAACTTGCGGCGCCGTAACTTACGTCGTAAATTTTCTGTGACAATCTTGTGATTAAAGGATGTTTTTATTGAGTGGTATTTATACGCGGCGATCGGGTTCCATGTTCTCCTGACGATTGGGAGTTCTTGCTGAATTTGGTTTTATCTTGAATGAGGCCCGTTTCACAAAACTGAAACAGGCCTTGCGTAATTACTTCATTGTATTGGTGTTTTATCATAGTGATTGGTTTCGTGGGTGAGTATGCATTTGTGTTGTTCCCAACCTTATTGACTCCACATTTGTTATGAGACCCGTAAGCTTTAGATTAGATGAATGTTACGGTTATTTGGTTACACTATATTGAGCCGCGACAAATCGACCTTTGAACGTCATGTTAAAAAATTTCTGTCTCCCTCCGCTTAACGAAGACCTAAACACGATGCGACAACATGAAAGGATTTGTTTATTGGAGAGAGATAGGATGGTGGGGAAATTGAATATCACGGAAACCTTTTTTATGTCAGAGAAATGTGTCATAAGACAATTTGTCGTCTAAAGCCTTCGAGCCATCTAGAAGCTAATAATTTTGCGCGGTTAAGTCATCCGTATCACACATAGTTTGTGCACGAAAAGGGTAATTTTCTTCAAATAGAGTCTCAAATCAGTAATACTTCATGTATTCCTGTTTATCCTAAATGCTGTAGTGTTTGTTCCTATTTTAAGCTGAATACCCTTAGTTAAAAGCAAATTGACAGTCGGTGGTTAACAAATCCTGAACCACACTTGAGTCTTTCTACACAGAATTGTACACTGTACAATTTAGTTATTTCAAATATAAAAAGATTGCTTGTCAGAAATCGTAAGCGACTCCCACCGGTTGTGAGGGCATGGACAGAAACCCACAGGGAAAGCTTGGTAAGGGCGTGAAGAGATCGGCGCGAGAAAAAGTTGAAACTTTTTCAAAGAGAGCTGTCAAACACGTTCCGGTTTTTTTTTTTTTTGGCGAGCCCAAACGACTTCCTTAGTGCCTCCGGGAGTGACATCAGGTTTAAACTGTTGGCAATGAAGAATGCGCGGTTTTCGTGCTAACACCACAGAGTTTCTACACACCGCATATAGACTGTGTGTGCCCAACGAAACCAGATTGCCTTTAGGTCGATCGGGTGTCTTTAGAATGAAGCCTATTGCTGTGGTAATTTTTCGAAGTAATCTTAGAGTTCTGGCAAATGCGGGAGGTGAATAAGATCTTTACGAGACATTGGGACTGATTTATTTTTCCGAACTTGGCCTCATAAAAATCTTAGAAGCAGACTGCTAAGACTACATCAAGGAGTAAATCTTTTATCAAAATTGTTCAAGACAGCTTGTGTTGGAAACACCATTGCAAAAGGTAGAATGTGCATGTCTAACCTGCAAAATTTCACTTTCACGACCTTACACCTTTTGAATAATGTATTTCAATTACTTAGCTCTTAATCGTTAGACTGAGGAAAAACTACAGCGATATCAGCACTGAGCAATCTACCTCTTGTTTTTTTCATAAAAATTTCAGTCGCCAAAGACGCAATGTGCTCACCTTCTCTCCTGGCGTCAAAACGTTCCTCCCCTGAACCAGTGAAGTTAGTGTAAAGTGCAAAATTTGGTGACTTGCCAAATTAAATTTTCAAAAATAGCCATCAACGGATCGGAAGGAAATTTTGACGTATTTTGGGTGACAACTGCTTAGCATTGTTCAAAGTCTTTAGACGCACGTGGGCAAACACTGTTTTGCATATTATCTCGCTTATTTCATCACGTTTCTTAATTGATCGTTGTTGTGGTTTGCTTAAAGTATATCACCTGGAACGCAAGGAGGGGAAAAGACTTGTGCAAACATGTGTAACCTTTATCCATTGCTAATGTTGACTCTTGAATTCATCAACGATTCCCACGATAGTATAGATATATTAAGAAACGAAACAACATCATTAACGCACTATTTCGGGTCCTGAAAAACACTTGAATTTTCGTATTAAGAGCTGACTTCTCAAGAAATATGTTTGCGAAAAACTGTATTTTGACTGCGATCAAGATCCCATAAGTTTTGGTGTTGCCAGCCTCCTGCTAATACCTTGCTTTTCCTGCTGTATTTGTCTACTTCCCTGGATTAGAATTCGTCGCGCGCGCTTTTAACCATGTTAACTCTTAACCCGTAAACTCCCGAATTCTCATTGGTAATTCTCCTTACTGTCTGCCACATAGTTTTTGTGATGTTATTTTGGAGAATTTGGTGTTGGATCAAGTAATAATCCCCTAATAAATATTTTTCTTTATTCTCATCACCTGTCTACTTGATATTGGATTGACATTGTAAGGAGAAGTTTTGTCTTGGTCACTCATGGTAGTTAAAGGGTTAAGAATGCTCATCCTCTAACTTCTTACAATGTCATCACTCAATCAAACATTAAGGTCATGAGAAGAAAGGAAATGATCCCCCGCCTAAGTTGTTGATTGTTTACTATTTTCTCCTCACCATTATCATAGGAAACGCATAGAGAACAACGAGGAGAATATGCGCACTGGTGCTATGGTGTAAAGGGTAACTTGGACGTCACGCAAGGTAAGTTTTATATGATAGTATTGAACCTTACTTATGGCGAGTTCCTTGGTTTTTGCATTTAAAAAAAGAAACCTCTGGTACAGTTTCGGACCCCACAGAAGCTTTTAAAAAGGATTCCAAGCATAGGATTAAGGCGACCGTCCGGACCTGATAGGGGGGTGGTGTGAAGAGTGTACTATCCTTCAGAAGGACGCAAGAAGAAAAAACGAAAAAAAAAAATTACAAACGTGCCGTTAAACATCACTGTCAAACCTTTCTTAAGCGCTTGAAGGTTACTCTCTTTCTCAATCGTAGACAATTTACCAACCTTTAAGGCCCAAGGCCGACATCGTCTCCTTTTCGTACCTTTGTAGTTTTAAATGGAGGGGAAGAAGGGCAAAGCAAGTAAGAAAGAAAGGAAGTATTTGGCCGCGAACATCTCTATGCCTTTCTTCTACTCTCTTACTTCATCCACATCAAGGTTTTAATTTTCGCCTTTCTGTGCGATGGATTGACTTAGCACCTGTAAAGGCTGTTGTTCACTTTGCATCATCACTTTGCGACTTATTTGATCATCTTTAAACCACACAAGAAGCCATGTTTCATTCTGTCCCAAAATGGACAAATACGGCCTGTTTATTCACAGCAGTTAATCTCATTTACAGACCCCACTAAAGCTACACAGTAGCAACTACTACATCTCTGCCTCCTTTCTTCCTAACGTATACCGAGGTACAGTATATTAATGCATAAATACTCAAGGTTTAGATAGGAAACGTTAATTTTCTTAAAAGCACGGATCTTCAAGGGTTAGCACCGTTTCACACCAAAGTCTTACATTAAAACAGAACTCCATGTTAAAAAACATCGACAGACTAAAACAAACAGCACCACACAAACATCTACTTTAGTTGCTCCAAAAGGTTTTCTAGAGTTTCTAAGTTTTGAACTTAGTCACACAGAGCACATATAAGGAACGAACCATTTCAATTACTCTGTCCTCTGTGATAAACGGTACTTAATTAAGGCACTGCTCAAGAACGTTGAAA